TTTGTTCACTTCCGGTAAGAGCAATCTCCCGGGAGCGGGGTCTGGGGTACCATGACCCTGCTTCCCCTGCTCTTAGAACAGGGTCTGCCCCTCTGCTCGGTTCTCCTATCATGAGACTTAAAACTTTTTCTCTCAGGTACCTAAAGCACCTGATCAATTTGCGATATGCTTATAACGTCCAGAGAGCCAACTGTGTTGAAAATTAGCAATTTTAATCAACAGTGAAGAAAGCACTTTGCTTTTTTTAAAAAAAGAAGGGGTTACTGCAGAGTGAATGTTCACAAACAGTGCTTTATTTGGTCACAGGAGCCATGGTCTGCTATGGGGCGGGAGAGCTTTATTGGATGCTAATCTAATATCTAAGATTGCGTTTGTGTGCTCTTCCTTCTTGCCATTTATGGTGAAAAATCTGAGGCAAGGACACCATGCATGTTTTGCTTCTTGTTTGTAGTCCCATCCTGATTTCATTTTCATGCAATGAGAGTAAGGATTAGGAGATAATTAGCAATTTTCTTCTCTCACTTTTAACGATGTCTCTGCTCACTTTACAAAGTTATGTTTGAACATTATTGCTTACTCTGAAAAGTTAAATACATAATTTTAATGTTTCAGGCTTTTCAAAGTTTCATGTGTTTCTGGGGCATTGCTAACGGTTTACCTTCGAATGCAGAAAAACTATTATAAAGGAGACTTCAGGATAAAATCATAATCTCCTCAAGGAAACCATGTCACTAAGAGGCCATTGTTAAGGGTTGGGAGGGGAAAGGCAGAAGGAAGATTAGACAGTGATTTAGAAATATCAACGTTTGGCGTCAAGGCATTAATGAGTGGAACCACATCAATCATTGAGAGGTTTATATTAATCTTCTCCTGTACTATCTAATTCGTGTTGATTCAAAATTAGATTTCACTGAAATGGCTGCATTTACTCCTCCAGCACCAGGGAGACCAGCCAACTATAACCTTTATTATCTCCTCTGGTGAAAGCCACATTTGGTGATAGCTAAATGTTTTGGAAAAGCCTGTCTCCTCACCCCCTCTTTTGTGGGTACCAGGCAAAATTACGCATTAAAATGAACTCACTCTTCATGCTTTTGTTGTTTCTCTTACTCTCCATGTTCTTCCTTGTCCCAGTACAGTTGCTAGAGTCTTATGCTCCTGGCGTAGACATCTGATAAGTAAATTCACACCCCCCTGGTGATGCTTTAAGATGCTGATGCCATGGAAGTATGCTAAGGGGACTTCATGCCTACCATAATGCCTTATCCAAAGGAACTCATTTCTAATGTGGATTTTCTGACACTGGGGGCAGCTACATACAGGAGAAATTGTTTTGAGCAGTTTGTATTTTCAGGGTCTCCTTAGGTTCTGCCCAGTTCACCTTACAAACAAGGCTGGTCATGGGTATGGGAACAACATTCTTTGGGGGTTTTAATGCACATTTCTTATGACTTGTATTACAGATGGAATTTTCCATGGAAGAAGTTCCTCAAGGGTCTCTTTGTTCAAGACTCAAATGTAATGCAAAGATCTTTCCACTTCTCACTGTGGGTATTTGTGGTGTGAATGTTGGGGACTCTGTGCAGTGCTAAGATGACCATTTTCCTGATGTATCTAGCAGGATAAGGTCTAATCCTAGGTGTGAATGTGGTCAGAGTGGTGGACAGCCCAGAAATCACCCCAGGGAAGAGGCATGAACCTCAGGAAACCAGAGTCTGGAAATCCAAGACTTCGCCTCTCTCTGGGCTTCAATTTTGAGTTTGGACTTCAAAGAGTTTGAGAGAACGTCAGAAGCTGTTTGCTTCTACTCCATTGAGTTGGTTTTTCTACTCAGCCGAGACTCTTCATTGACATTTGGACTTTTCTTTCTGTTTCCTGAGGACCCTTCTCCCTTAATCCTGGGTAAGTTCAATAAGAAATTACAACCCAGCCGGGGAAAAGGATGTGTTGATCAGGGGTGTGACGAAGCTCCCTGGGGGTACTGCTGGTGAGATGGCTGCTCAAGTGTGTTCAGTCCAGGTACTGTCATATGAACTTGTTTCATCTGGTGCTGTTTCAGGAGACACTTAGCCCCTCTCACTTCTTCCATCATCATGAATGGCTTTCCCTGAACACCCAACAGCCTCACTGTTCAAGTGTCTCCAATCTGGCCTTCAGGTTACAGCGTAGTCACTACTGACGGGGCATGAGCTTTCACAAGATGGTGGCTTATTGTATATAAATTTCTAACCCTAGGCACTACCTGTTCAGCAGTCTCAGATTCCTGAGTCTTTTCTTATTCCACTGGGAGAGACTTCTCAGCCATGGGCCCAATTCCTTTAGTCCTGGAACTAAGCATTTTCTACTTCAATCCCTGTTCCTAGACTGTTTTGAGTGGAAACCCTACCAGGATGTAGTGTATCCTTTTGTTTGTTCATAATCTTCTTCCTCTTGAGTATGGCCCCTGTCCCTAAAAAAAAAATCTCACCAGTCCCTCAAGACCCCATTTGGGTCCTCTTTTTCTATGAAGCCAGAACTCCCCAGAACTCAAAGCTCTTTTTTCCCCAACAATCTTTTGGCAATGAATCACACACATGCCTTATGACTTACTCCAATGATCATTTTATGGTGAGCATAATACCCACTTCACTTGTTCAGCCTCGCTAATTTTGACGTATGGCAGACATCTCCTTCTGCACAATGAGTCCCTGGAATATTAACTCTATTCTGCATACTGGCTTTGATTTGGGCAGACGTTTTTATCTATCACCCATGTCAATCTGCTTTCCATGAAGAAAATTTGGCTGACCTTCAAAGGATGAAGATTATTGACCTCCCTTGGAAGCTAATGGAAGTGAATTCACTAGCAGGTTTTTTAAAGTAAAAATGGAAGATAATTGTAAAACAGATTTCACCGTGTTATATACATCACTTCAGAAAATAAGCATAGTTCCCATTCTCCCATGTGATGTTCTTTGTAGCATTTTACCACAGAATGACTCCCTTACAACTCAAGTAAGAAATGTTTAGGCCTACTTCATAAGAATTTGCCCTAAGAACAAGGTGAAAATTAAACACTCTTGAATGGAAGTCTGGCTGGATGAAACGACGTGCTATCAGAATAAAGCATGCGATGTTCCGTATAATTTGTACTCAAGATGTATATTTTTTTGTTTTAATATGCTTATCAAATTAACTCATGGACTTCCTCCATTCCATGACTCAAGTGTGTTGTGAGGGAACTCGAGAAAAAATGGTAACTTTTAGTAACATAAAAAGGAATAGACCGTGATTCTGGAGACCTGGGTTCTCCTTTCTATTCAACCAGTTTAGTCTTTTGTGTTTGTTGACACTGATGTTGACTCACTGAAATGTGATAATTAATGACTATTTCTTAAGAGCTAAGTATACTGCTGTTTTGATCTTTTTAAGCATATAATTTTAGGCAGAAATAATATATCTTGTCCCTTGTTAGGCCTCACTGCCCAGGGAAGAGATCACTCACAAGAACCTTGCCTACAACGCGAAGGGTCTGTACTTAGACTGCACAGTCTCTTTTCTGGTTGTTGGGTCACAGGTGGCTCACTATTCTGAGTTTGCAAATAAAGTGCATCTTGATAAATTAGGTTAAAAGTGAGAGAATGTTCAAAGGCTGAGAACATCAATTCAGCTCTCAGCAAGTGCAAGTCAAAAGTGCCTTTTTGCAGGAGAAAGCCACCACCAGCTCTGCACCTGCTCCCTGGAGAAGGAACCATGTATTAGAAGGACGGCCACAGGAGAACTGACACAACAAAACTGTTCATGAGCCAGATGTGGCTTTGTTTCTTTTCTAATAAGGGCATGTTTGTTTGTGTAATCTCAACTATACCTAACCTAATGGGAGAGACTGTGTGGGAAAGGGCTTGGAGAAAGCATAATGGCTGGATATCTGCAAGGATGCATTATTTCTTAGATTCTATCAAACAAACCCAATACTGGCAGAGTTGTTCTCCATATGTCACAGAGGGAGCAGAGAAAATACACACAGACATTCCTCATCATTTCACCTAATAGTTTATTCTTTTCCTGGAGGTCAGGCTGCAGATGAAGAGTAAAATGAGAGAATGAATACAGTCAATAATAAGATGGGGAAAAGTGTTGAAAGAGCCTGGCTAAAAATTATGAGATTCATCAGACTCTTCCTCATTGACCAGAAGAGGCTTGGAAGTCTATTTGGAACTGTGACCTGTGAGTGGGGTGTTGGTCAGACAGAGAAAGAACACTGGGAAATCGTGGGATAGAAATACAGCTGGGAAGTTAAGGCAAGCACCCAACGCTCTCAGGAAACTTGTTTCCTCTTCTGCTTGGTTAGTTGTTTCATCTGCAGTTCAAAGGTTATTTCAGATGATCAGATGATAGAATTGCGACAACTCCAAACCCGGTAAGAAAACACTGAAGTGTTTGGGAGAGGAAGTCATTTCAGGGATACATTTCAAGGAGAAATTAAAGTTATTGTGTGCCAGTGTTTGTCTTTGGGGGGATGGGGGTAGGGGTGGTTGACAATGGGACAGGAATCAGTGTGTACATTTCCTGTTCCTGTTTCCTTAACCTATATCCTCAGGGCATCTCTGGTTCCTTGGTGGGAAAATGCTCTTTGCTGCCCTCTTTTTGGCCTCAATCCTGTCTATATGGGACCTGCAGCACGGAAACACCTGTCCCACAGGGGCAGGATTAGGGTCATAAGAGTTTGCTGTGGCATGTGTTAAAGGGAGGAGATTCACAGACATGAGTTGAGAGGTTGGCATCAGTGTTGACTTAAAAAAAATTATCTCACATGTTCATTTTTCCTAAAATTCAGGGGCCATGTTTCTGTAATCTCAAACCTTTGGGAAATAATCAAAATTACAGAGTGGCTGGAAATCACCTCTTACCTTATTTGAAAGGCCCATGTACACTTCAGAGAAGCAATTTTTCTCATCCTGGACTTAAAAAAAATGATCATTCTCTTAATGTTTTTGTTTACTACTATATAAACAAGCAAGTTCGTTTTAACATTTACTCTTTATTGTGTTGTATGAAGTACCTATGTAATGCAAGTATGTACTGTACTAAAATACCCACATTTCCAAGTAACATTATGTGGTCTCTGCAGAAGCATCATGGGTAATCTGTGCCTTTACACTTTACAATCCATTGTTGGCTGCTGTGAAAAGTATGGTAACAGATGAAGAAAAACATAATATAGCTACATATGAATACACTTTTCCAAACATACATATACACAGCTTACAATGCAACCCCAATGGAAACAAGTCAAATGGCAACATTGGATGTAACATCTATAAAATGTAGACTCTGCAATAAAAAGCCAAAGGCACATTAAAAATATATTTTAACTTTAAAAATAACTTAGTTACAGTAATACTTTGCTTGTGTCTTACCAACATGTAGCTGACAGTCAAAATTTTGCCATATAGATATACAGTAATATAGAGTAATATAAGAGCTACAAGAAAATCCCCAAAACCCATAAAGTTGTTCAAATGTGAAAACAGAGAGAAGTTTTAACACTGAAGAATTTGCTATGGTGAGCCCAAACAATATAATATAGAAAAGAGTCTAGAAAAAGGCTTAAGTGTTAAATAAATTTGACTTTTTCTTGCTCAGAAAATGCAGAGTAAAGTTGCCGAATGTGACTCTTGAGGCCCTTCGCAGCTAGTGCCAATCCTGGCCCAGCCAGATTTCCTACGTGTCTGGAAACAAAATGTGAGCTGGACATCAGCAATGCCCGCCGAAAATGGCTTCTGACTGACTCACTTCCTCTTTTTGCCAGGACAGGTTTTTTTTTCAAACTGTTTTTGCAAACACGGCATAACAGGTAAAAAAATATTTTGTAGGAACGTTATTTTAGAAAACCCATCACACAACTGCAAATGAAGCCAGTGAAGCTCTTCTCTTCAACCGTGGTTTTTTTTTTTTTTTTTTGATACTTTTGACCCCAGAGGAAAATACCTGGCGGCGTCCTGTTACTTATTTTTATCCATGACGTTCAGCACCTCATCCAAAAATGAGGGCCCAAGATCGAGCTGCAGGGAGAGGAGGGAACCTGTAAGATCCGAGAGTGACTCCTCTGATTTAGTCTTTTCCTTGATGAGCTCACATGGGGCAGGATGGTCAAACATGTCCTCGGCCGGCCAGTCGGAATACTGTTCGGAGAGGCTGGAGGAGTGGCTGTCCCTGCCCTGGCTGGACTGCGAGGCGGACCCGCTGGAGCCCCAGGAGACGTCTCCCTGGTGGGCGGTCCCATTCTCCAACAGACTGCTTTTCTCCGGAGCCTTTTCCTCCATGACAGGCTCACAGCTAAGCCTGGGCAGCTTTGCAGGCCCAAAGGACTCCTGTTTGGAATTAAATGTCACTGGTGACAATAAGGGCAACATGAGTGCTTGGGACCCTCCAATGGTCGGGAGGGAGATGGCGTTTTTGAGCACAGGAGAAGGCGTTTCTGTGAACATGGAGTCGGAGGTGCTGTTGGCCCGTAAGAACTCGCTGTGCCCAGGGAACTGGCCCATGCGTGCTTTCTCCTGGTTCCCAGGTAAAAGCTCATAGTTCCCTTGAAGAAAGGAAATATCCCCAAAGACATCGTGCTGGCCCTCTTTGCCAATGTGGATGGTGTGGCGAAAATCTCCAAGGGGAGGACTGATCATATCAGGAGACAAGATGTCCCTCAGTTTAAATTTCTTTCCTTTCTTGTTATTGGCAGCTTTCAGGTAAATGGGGGTCTTGGCTGGCATTTTGGAATTTGAGAATGTCTATTTTGCAAAAGGGAAAAAGGGCCACTTTCTTCACAGGTGTTCTATGTTTCTGAAAATCGTTTCTGATAGGAATTGTCACATCATTTTTCTCAAGTAGCTTCAGAAGTGGCTCTGAAATGAGAGGGGGTCTAAGAAACCCTCCTGGGGTTACAGCCAAGTGCAGCTTTCTGAAAAGCCAGTTACATCATCCAATCCCTTCCGCAACACGGAGAAACCTGGAAAAGAAACCAAAGCAGGTTATAATTAGCTGGCCCTTCTGGGTTTACTTGGGCCTGTCTTTTTCACAAGAGCCTGTAAACAATGGCAGGACCAGTTCCCAACCAAAGCTGAGCTTTATTTTGCTGCTTCCTTCCATCAAGTAGGATAAAAACTTTAATCTTAACAAGGGTCCACTAATCTCAGTCTTACTTCAGGGGAAAAAAGAAAAAGAGGAGGGAACGAGAGATAGATTCAAAAACCCCAAACATATGACATCAGCACTTTTTAAACATGGCCATGAACACAATTTTCTGGATACGTCTAAAGTTTTAATCCTTTCCCTCTATTATAAGAATTGCTGTCACCACACGACCAGACTGAGTCCAGCTCCTTAGATATGACTGGATTTGTTTTCAAATATATTTTCTCTTTTGGTGTTCACACTAGCAGGACTAATAATACTTCGTCGTTAAGTTCTGTATATAAATAAAATTAATGCAATAAAATGAATAGTCCTATAAAGACAGGGGCTGGAAATATAATTTACTAGTGACAGTGACTATTACACGCTAGTGTCCAACAAAATCTTAGTGAAATGCATTCTTACAAATGAGAAAACCGATTCAGGAGTCAAAAAAACACCCTTTCTCAATGACATACACTGGATAACGAAAGAGCTGGAGCAGGAATCAAGGTGTGGCAGAGAGAGAGGGGCTGTCAAGGATTTCAGGATTTGGAGGCATTCTGAATGGAAGGAAAAGAACAAAACTGCTTCTTTTCAAAGAAAAAAGTGTGATCGTATGTAATAGGTTGGGTCTTCATTTGGGAATACTTCTGAAACATTTACTGATAAGCTTGTGTCCCCTCCCTGTGGTAGGCAGAATTCCAAGGTAATCCCCATAATCTGCCTCCTGGTGTTAATGTCTTAGTGGGCAGAACCTGTGGCTTGTTTGTAACCAACCAAGCATGGCAAAGGTGATGGGATGTCACACCTTGATTAGGTTACATTACAAAAGATTCCATCTTAGCAGACTGGAGACGCCCTTTACTGTTTTTGTTTTTGTTTTTTCTCCCCAAAGCCCCCCAGTACATAGTTGTGTATTCTAGGTGTGAGCGCTCCATTGTGCTATGTGGGATGCCACCTCAACACGGCCTGATGAGCAGTGCCATGTCCTCGCCCAGGATCCGAATCGGTGAAACCCTGGGCCGCCAAAGCAGAGCGCACGAGCATAACCACTTTTGAAAAAGTAACCTGCCATGCTGAGAGAGGGCCTATGGAGATGAATTCTACCAACAACCTGAGGGACCCTTGCTGATCTTTCCCCAGTCGAGCTTCTGATGAGACTACCGTGCCAACAGCTGGTTCCCAGCCTGATGAGACCATGGAGCTAAGCCATGCTTGGACTCCTGACCTGCAGAAACTGTGAGACAATACATGGGTATTGTTGTAAGCCACTAAGTTTGTGGTAATTTGTTACCAACCTAGAAAACTAACACACCCTCCCTGCACACGCCATAAGACACGATTAGAACTGATGAGCTACAAGAAGGTTTTGGGGCCCTCAGGCTCTCACGTTACAGATGAGAAACTCTCCATCTCTTGAAAATCATCCTCCGACTCTTCAGTCACCTCAGCTGACATGGAAAAGCTAAACCTTTCCCACTCTGGGAGTTCCTGACATGGCTCTGCAGTGACCTCTCCCTGGTCACAGAGCAAATAAATAAATAAAAACGCTGAGGGTCGGGTTAGATGGTGCCTTGAAGAGAGCCACATTTGCTTCGTAGCAGCTGGAGGTCTGCATCTGCCCCATATTTCTTTCCTCTCAGCAAGAGTTTTAAATTATTTCCCCGTGGCAGGTGGCAAGAACTGTGCTCCAGCACCCACTGGCAAGGTAACAAGTGGCTCTGTTGGGGCAGCAGCTTGCGCCCAGGCCTAAGAAGGCACCAGGCCTGAGAAGGCAGAGAATGATAGCTGGAGAGACTCACCCCTTCCCCAGCCTCGAGCGTGGGGAGGAGGCTGAGGCAGCACCATGGGGTTCATGCCCAGCGTGGGCTAACCTCAAAGCTGCCAGAGAGGACCACACACTCACTGTCTCTCGCTTTCTCTTTACTCCCAACTAAGGCCCTGGCTCACACACCTCCCTGAAGTGCTCCTGTTGTGGCCACAGGGAGGAGCCCCACAGGTCTGCCTGCCCACTTCAGGCAGGAAGGCATGGAGACGCCATGTTATGGATGCTTGATACTGAGCGAGAAGACAGGAAACCCCAGCACAGGAAGACATGCTAGCGGGTCCAGACATTCTCTCTCAGAGTTTTAGCTCTAATTCGGGTCTCGTAAGAGTAACCAAAGTTTAAACCTTGGATCTTCCTGCTAAAACATCAGAACTTCCTTCCCCTGTGAGTGCACAACAGCCCAGGGACCCTGCCACCCAGGGGCAGCTGGCACTGCCTTCATGCCCCTCTGGGCACAGCACAATGACTGCCTGCAGGAGCAGCTGGGGTGCTGGGCCCGCAGAAGGTGGGGGCAGCCCTGAGGGTCAGCTGCCCACTGGAGTGGTGTCCTCAGCACACATGGCCAGGAGGGCAGCTGCCATGGAAAGATACAGTGCATCCACTGCAACTCAGGGGCATGCGAGGGCTGCCTGTGGCCAGCTGGTGGAGTGGGGGTTATGCAAGGCCAGAAACCGAGGCAGAGCATTTCAAATTATTTAGAAAAATAAAAATACCATCAAGATGCAGCCAGAGAGCACTTGTCTGCCCCTTGGACTGGATCACTCACATTCACCCTGTACTTGAATGCTGAATGGGGGTGCTGGGGAGGAAAAGGGAGGAGGAGAAAAGGGAGGCAGGCTTGCAGCTCTTGGAAGGCTCCAGGCAGGATGCCCGGTCACCGTCCCTGCCTGGCCACAGCCACGGGCACTGCAGGCCCCCAGCCAGAGGCTCACTCAGCCTGGGAGAAGCTGGGTTTATGTCAGTGATGTGGACATGAGGGTGGGAGGGCAAGGACAAAAAAGAAAAAAGAAAAGGGTTGGTGAGTGGAAGCTGGAATGCTGCAGGCAGTGAGATTCTGGAGAGTGGGAGAAGAAGAAGATACCTTAAAAGGCATTTTTCTTTCTTTCTACAAATATTTACATACATTTACTGCATGACAGGGATGTAGGCTTCTAGGACATTGGAAAGAATAATTTGTATTGAATTTCTACTATGTGCCAGGACTAAGAGCTCCCAAAGACACTGGAAGTTAAAAAATAAAAAAAAGGATTTGGGGCAAAAATGTCAATTTTACAACTTTAGAAGAGTTGATGTTTGCGATGTGATGCTGGCAAGATATCTGAGAGCTCTGAGCCCGTCCCTCTATCTTATCTGTTATCTTTCCTCCTCCAGCTCGGGGCCAAGCAGGCCTGATTCCAGGAGAGACAATCCAATACCAATGATCTCTTATGCTGACCGCTTCCTCCCTTTCTTTCTGAATATTCTGGGCTCCCTGGCTCATCAATGGACATTCGTGCCCCTTTCCCTTCTTCCCAGGTGACTGCTCTTTCAAGATCTCTGCCATCGTAAATGCAGAAACCTAATGGGCAGTTTCTTCACTGGTAACAAAGTGGCTTGTCCTGGAGAGGGTATGTGTGCGTCTCCTGGGAGCCAGCACTTTATATGACAGTAAATATTTATTGAGAGCATCTCTAGGTGCCAGCCACTGTTCCAACCTTTGACATGTACTAGCTCACTCACAAGAACCCATGAGGCTGCTACTGTTAACATTTCCATTTTACAAATGAAGCGCTGAGGTACAGATGTTGAGTTGCTTCGCCAAGGCCATGTGGCTACTAAGCCAAAGTGCCCAGGCGCAGGCTCCAGAGTTTGAGGTCTTGATACTTAATGAGCACACTCCCTGAGAATCCAGTCAGCTTCCAAATTATGAAGGGGGTGCATTCCAAAGTCTGTTTAAGATACAGATGTGTGATAACGCCCTGGGCTGATAAGGGTGGGAGTTAGGCCTTGTGTACACTGATGGTGGAAGCATGGACAGGTCCAACCTCAACGGCAGGCAGTCTGGCAATATCTATCAGAACTGCAAATCACATGCCTTTGGCCCCAGAATTCCACTCTTACAGAGATTCATCCAACTTACGTACACAAGAAATAATATATGTACAAGGCTGTCAATCCAGCACAGTTTACAACAGCCTGGAGTTGGAAGCAAGCCAATTGTCCACCCAGGGAGGACTGGTTATATACATTAAGGTGCGTCCATATAAATGAATAGTACACAGATCCAAGAAAGGATGAAGCAGCTTTTACTATGCTGATACAGAAAGAGCTTCAAGGATATATATCTTCAAAGGAAAAAAAGATAGGTGTAAAAGTGTATAGATACATTTGTATTGGCTTTATTCTTTTTTTTGTTAAGATTAGCCCTGAGCTAACATCTGCCACCAATCCTCCTCTTTTTGCTGAGGAAGACTGGCCCTGGGCTAACATCTGTGCCCATCTTCCTCTACTTTATATGTGGGATGCCACCACAGCATGGCTTGATAAGCAGTGCATAGGTCCATGCTCAGGATGTGAACTGGTGAACTCTGGGCTGCCAAAGCAGAGTGTGTGAACTTAACTGCTATGCCACCAGGCCAGGCCGGCCCCTGATTTTGGATTTTGGAACCATATGAATGAATCAGCTATTTAAAAAAAAAAAAATGAATGAAAGGGTCGATAAAGGCTCAGAGTGCACTTTCTTATGAACCAATTTTACACATCAGTCCTGAGAAGCCTACTGAAACTATGAGTTACTTATAAAGCAAATATTAGTATGGGAAAATGTGTTCAAAAGCCAAAATCTGGGATGGCAGCATGTGGATATATGAAGACCTCACAAGAGGGCTGAGCTCGGCAAAGGGACAGGTCACTCCTCCCTGTAGTGATCAGGCGTTCAGCAAAGAGGCAGCACCAGTGTGTATTTTTTGGAATGGGAAAGATCTCAAGAGAGGGGTTTTCAGTCAGAAGGAAATGAGAACAGACAA